GAGGGGAAGGAGGCGGTGGAGGAGGAGAAGCACGGAGATGACAAGAGAGGAGATGAGAGGTGAGGGCATATGAAGCAGTTCGAGGACTAGGAGAAGCGGAAAAGGAAAGGAGGAGGAGGAAGACATGAGGAGAGCAAGGCGAGTAGGTAACTGGAGAGGGCTGGAGCCCACTGGGTGCTCCTGAGGCGCTCCTGCAATGGAGGGCTGGAGCAACGTGAGAAGGGCTGGAACAAGGTGATGGAGGTGGGAGGCGGCAAGCGCCTGCAGCGGCAGCTCTCAGGAGTCAGGATGTGAACATTAATGGACGACAGCTGGCAGCTTGGCAATGCCATCAGAGGCGGTGGGAGCCCTTCAAAAACCCCGCAGAGGGGAAGTCTTGAAAATCGAAGTACTACCGTGCCATGCTTGAGTGCAGCCTGATTAAAACAATTTGGAGCCCATGCCACCCATCACCGCTGTTTTGGGGCGGCGGGGGCATTTGACAATCAAAGCCTGGCCCTAAATTTTTTCGACCAGAGCCTATTTCTCCTGTAGGTGCAGTGTGCCCAGCACGTGTGTGGTGGACCAATGCGCAGCGCGTGCAAGCACAACCACGTGCATCATGTGAAACTGCAAGTATGGAAACATCATATTTAATATCTTCCAAATATGATCATGATATAGCATTCAGACCACCCTCCTAACGACTGGGAGACCTTATGCATAAACGTCACCAGAAATTGCTTTTGCTTGGTGAGCTAGCAGGTTCTCTTCCTTTTATTCTCTATAAACCAGCAACACTGTCGAATGTCCCGCAGCACAAGTTACCTTTCTTGGTCGCGTGGGAGGCTTTTAAATTGTAATAATCTGAAAAGTTGTGAAAACCCATTTTCCTTTCGTTTTCTACAAATCACCACCGTGTGCCCCAAAGTCAAATCTCATTCCACTGACTCAGGAATTACCGAACATCGGGCACTAGAGGCAAGAGGCTGGCATTTGCTTCATAACCAGCTCTTGCTGTCAACGTCATAATCCGAATGTGGAAGTGTAAAGCCTAGTTTTTTTTTTTTTTTTTTTTTTNAAGCTAGGCAATGGTGAAGGGTGGAGGAAGAGAGAAGAGGTTGAGGGAGAGGAAGGAGGAAGACAGCGATACGGGGAGACTTGCCTTTGGATATGGCAGACATTCACCTCCGATTCCTTGGTTGGTGCTGAACTAGAAGGCGCTGGGCAAGGTCAGAAGTCTACAGTGGCTCATATTTCACGTGGCCCTCCCAGTAAACTCTTGGCTGCATGGAAAAAGGAATAGACAAAATAGGGTCGAGGAGGAGCAAAACTGCTCCATGTGTACGGGGGGGATACCGGAAACTATGGTTCACTGTTTACTCTCGTCCGGAAGCGGAGCAGGTATGGGCATTAGCTCGTACACTTTGGGCTCGAGTTATGGATGCTCCCTTCCCTTCGATCAGGGGTCGGCTTCTAATCAGAACTGAAGCACCCAAGGGATGGAAATCAAGTCAAAAATGTATTTTTCAGCTGCTGAGGCTCTACACGTTATGGACAGTGTGGAAAAGAAGATGCCAACAGGTGGTGGGCAAAGCCTCGATGACCATAATGGAGGCTAGAGCAACTCTATACAATCTGCTCGAGACAGACATCAGAGCCCAATGGCAGCGCGTTAAGAAGCAAGCTGAGAAGCAGGAAGAGGTGAACCCGGAAAAAGGCCAAGGACATAATCAACAAATTTCAGACTAAGGTCTTAGCTGCAGGCAAAGTGGCGACACTGGAAGGGAAGGCATTGCGCTTCCATTGGTTTAAGGAGGATCACCAGGACACATCGCAAGAGGATATGCGGCAGGATCAAGAACTGGGGCAGCCATAATCCAAGGGAAGGCGGACACATCCCAAACGAACGAAGAGGGACTAAGGAAAGGAAAGAGGAGGGGGTCACAGGCTTAGGGGTTAGGGTTTAGGGTTTTAGCAGGGGTAGCGCAGTGGCAAAGGGATAGGGAAGTGTGTTTTCTGGCTTTTCAAAGTACAGCTCCTGAGGAGGGAGGGAATAAGCCGAGGTCAACGACACTCGAGAGCAAGCACGGGGAAGTACATAAGGATGTCTTATCACAAGGACCGGGGGAACGTATCCCTGCCGACTTCAAAATGGTAACTCAGAGGACTGCGACATCGGCTGAGGGTCTAAGGGTTTTGGACTGGGAACTATTCAAGTACACGGGAGGAAAGGTGGAAAGAGAGGGGATCAGATTGACAAGGTCAACGGAGGGGCTCTTTCTAGGTTTAACGATGCTATCTGGCAGACAGGGATGACCAGTCTGAGAGGGAAGAGAAGGGCCTGGGCAAGCTGGCAGTCAATCCTCCACAGAGGTGGAGTAATCAATGCTGTCCAGGGGTCCTTCGGCCAGACGGAAGGAAGCGTGTGTGAGTAATTTTACATGTATTTTTCTTGACTTGCCGGTGGAGTAGGAACCGGACTGATGCTCCCCAGAATAGAATGGAGCCGGGACCATAAGGCCCTGATTGTTATTAAAAAAAAAAAAAAAAAAAGAAGGCGCCTGTGTGGCTACCGGCTGGTCTTGGATTTTGTCCAGGACTGTGACTATTGCGGAATGAAATGGGAGAGGCCCAGTACTGTTGCGTGTCCTTTAAACATCCATGATGGCCATGGATGAGCTGCCATAGCTAGATATGCAACCAAGAGGACAGGAGTGACAGTGAAATTGAAAGGGGAGCTGCTTGAGTGCTGGCAGTGAGGGGGGATAATCGGACATGATTCCTGTTCATCATTCCTCTCTTGTTGTAGCTGATTGGTTATTTGAAGAGAAGAAGGAAGGGAGAAAGAGGGGGAAGAAATTGGTTCCAACTTGTGTGATTCTTCTTCTTCTTTCTTCTATCCTCTTCATTCAATTCCGCTCTTTCCCCTCTTTCCACTTCTTCTTTTGAGCTCAACAAGTCTTGCATTTTCTCACGTTTGAGTTTTGCATAATGGATAATATAGGGTCATAACAACTGAAAAAAAAGAAAAAAAAAAGAAAAAAGGGTCATAACAACTGGTTGGCTGACTCTGCTCCCTATTTTCTCACAATCATCGCCTGACATGCCTTCCAGATGCCTCTTTCTAACCAGGGAAACCATCTGTGATCAGTCGAAGTCAGCGAAGCACAAAAGGCCCGCTTCATTTGCGATCCAGGGGTTGCTTAAGATTGGGATTCAATCTGAAGGTTATTTGTAAGTTCACATGGAGGACATATTCAATATTCTCAGGGAGAGTAGTAGGAACACGGTCTACTTATTCAGTAAGTACTAAGAAGTATGCATAATATTGCACAGCTTGTCAAGTCTTAACCTACAGACGGAGAAGCTCCTTAGCGAGCCTACCGTCTTCACCCGAATAAAATACCCGGTCATTATAGCTGTGCTTGGGGCAACTTTCAGTCCAGATACAGCTATAAGACCAGGCATTGTATTCAGGTGAAGAGGGTAGCATTACAAGGGAACTTTAAAAGGTCGACGAATGGAATCAGTTTGCCTATACTTAAATGGCCTTTTTAACGGTCCACATCAGTGGACTGAGGAAGGATATTCCTGACCGTTTCATGCATGTTTTTCTTAACCACCACTACCTCCGAGCCTGTTTTTGCCGACCCTGAATTTCACTACGCACCGAGTTTTGCCAAGCCTGGGTCCCATCGTTATTTCTTTTCTGGTACTCTTCGGAAATGGAAAAAAAAAAAGAAGAAAAAGCAACAACACTAGCGACGCGAAAGAAGCTGGATACAAAATCCAGGGTACAAGTGAGAGTGTGCCCTAGCGACAGGCATTACAGACCTCCCGTAATCAGGGCAGCACATCCAGGATCAACGAAGAAACAAAACAAAAAAAAAACAAAACTCTTTGGACGTGAAAGCAGCTGGATACAGAATTGTGGGCACATGTGAGAGTATGCCCTCGGACAGGCCGTTAGAGGAGGAACGAAAAGAAGAAAAGAAAAACAAAACAATCTCTACGGACGTGAAAACAACTGGATACAGAATCTTGAGTACATGTCAGAGTGGCCCCTTCGTTGCAAAGTGTCAGCTTCTGTGGATTCTGCCCTGCCTGTTTGGCAGGGCACTATAACGACATCAAAAGGGAAAAAAAGAAAAAAAAAGAAAACACGAGACTAGCTGTTATTCTGGGTAGATGCGTTCCTTCAAGCACTGATGCGAGCACACCACCTTCACGGCCTTCGCTGACGTCCTTCTCTTCCCCTCTGTGGGTTCTTCTTTTTTTCCTTTTTTTTTTCGCTGTTCGGGCCCACAAGGCCCAAACACTTTTCTTTTGCCCTAGCCTCCTCGGGACCCCCGAAAAATGTGGTGTGACATATATTCCCATTTTTCTCAACACTGAGAAAGGTAGTGGTGGTTCAAAGAGTTTTACAAGACCAGGAAGGGGGGGGGGAGGAGGCAAATGATAGCGATGTCAAATAATTTTCCGTCATCAGTGTGCGAGATGGCAAGTCGTTTTTTTTTTTTTTTTGGGGGGGGGGGGGGGGGGGGGGGGGGGGGGGGGGGGGGGGGAGGGGGGGGGGGGGGGGGGGGGGGGGGTTGATATGGGAGGGGTATGGGCGTATCTGACAGTCAATGCCTGGGCCATACCATGGGGATCTGTTAACAGCGGGTATACTTGCTGGTGGAATAGGAATCGGACTGATGCTACCCAGAATAGGTATGGCACCGGTCCTGCAGGGTCGCGTCCTTTTTTTTTTTACTCAAAAAAAAAAAATGAAGCCCAGTAGGGAGTGGGCTTTGTGGGACATCAGTTTCTCTTCGGTCCTATGTGGGACGTCTGTTCCTCCTGGTCTTCCTCCATGTGCAATATTATTATGCAATAGTTTCGATTATATTGGTCGTTGCATGCCTCCATGTCGCCAATTGTAACATATGAAGGGGAAGCGAGAAATCGGGTGTGTTGGGCTCAGAGGAGGCTCACAGGACAGAGAGGAATGCATGCTCTTATTGATGTGGTCATACCTGAATATGCCTTCAATCTTCAGAATCTTGTCACCAGTCTCCAAAAGTCCTCTTAGAGTGCTGATGATGGGCAAGCCAGCTCCCACCGTTGCCTCATAGAAGTAGTGTGTGTACGACTTCCTCTGAAGATTGCGCAATTTCAGATACTGCACATAGCCCAGAGAGAACAAATTAACATCGAAGTTCAAGAAGGTGAAAAAGCTTCGAAGAACTGAAATGCTTTCCACCACCACACAGTCGCCACATAATATCTGCACCTTCCGACAGCCCATAAGCCACCTGAGCAAWCAGTCATCACCCACACCAAGTAGGTCAATTGGTAAGCTGCGAAAGTGTCACAGCACCTTACAACAATAACGAGCATGTGTATATCCCTGGAATGCTATACATTCTTCTTCTTCTTCTTCTTTTGGGAAAGACTGGCCCTCTTGTTGGGCTTTAAAATTGCTGGAAACTGGTCGAGGGTTCCTTATAAAAAAAACAGCATCCTGTCGCAGTCCCGGTCCCCAGGATCCAAGTCCCTTGTACCATAAGTCCCAGTCCAGTGGGTAGGTAAGTCAAGTTAGGCCCGTAGGTCCGGTAGCATCCAGTAAAGTCCCGTCTGTACAGTCCAGCCCAGTCCAGTCCAGTCAGTAGCCCAAGTCCCAAGAAACTGAGTGAACATTCCATGCGTTGAAGGCCAACCGCAGCCAACTGTCTGGAAAGTCAGCCAACAAGTGAGGGCACCAGTCCTGAAAGTCAGCCAGCAAGGGAGGGTATTTCCGCACCCGCACAGCCACCCCCCACACGGATCTCCGCACAGCTCTGGTCTGTGCGGGTGCGGAATGTGCAGAGATCGAGCACCTTCCGCACGCCGTACTCCGCACCGCACCGCACCGCACGAATGTGCGGCATGTGCGGTTGCAAGTATGCTAGAAATAGTTGACTCCACAGCAAAAAGGCAAGGAGGGGACATATATGAAGAAAGATCCTCCTTGCCTCATAGGCTCATACACATGGGGAGAAGGCCACAGATGATGGAGGAATGCCATGAGACGAATGTGAGAGGAAGCAAAAGAAAGTACAAATCATTGAAATCAATGTATTAGCGGAATGATAATACTCTCTAGCCAGTCTCCGTCCAAATATCGAGCCCAAGTCTGGGAGGCAACCTCCCGAAATAGTACCCAAGTAGTAGCCAAATGATAATAGTCTCTAGCCAGACTCAGTCCAAATATCAAGTCCAAGTCTGGGAGGCAACCTCCTGAAACAGTTCCCATCTCTCTCTCTCTCTCTCTCACACACACACACACACACACACATACCTATGTACTCAACGAGCGCACTTTGTGAAACAAACGGTAAAAATAAAAATAAAAACAAGACAAGCATGAAGGGCACACTGAAACCATTGACTTTTCTCATTCTTTGTTTGACTCCCCCTTCCACTGTGCCTCTCACGTACAAGGCTCACCATGTTGATGAAGTTGCGTGCGAGCTGCCCACATCCCTGTGTGCCATAACGGCACACTTGTACGCTGTGAGAAAGAGGCAGAGTAAAGGGGGAGGGGATAGACACAGGGAAGAGCGATGGAGAGAAGACAAACAAAGAATGACAAAGGGAAAGTAAGGGAGAGTACAGAGTGTAGAATCAAGATGAAGGCAAAGGAGAGGATAAGAAAAGGCACAAGAATGAGTCTGTCCTTGACGACAGAGAGGACATACATTGTAAGGTTGAGGTGGATGAACACATGGAAGACAGAGCTGAACATTCTCAGTACAACAATTGCCATGAGGGCTGGCATTGAGCACGCCCACCATACACCCCCGAGAAATTGCATATCAATTGCACGCGAAAATGAAGGAAGAAAGCTCACCACAAAAGAACATGTGTTCAGTATAGCGCCCATGGCCGCAAAATGGACAGTGTCCAAATGCGGAGGGTGCCTGCAGTCAGGAACGGAAGAACGATCCTCTACATTATCGTCAAACAGAGCTGCACGGTAAACCGTAGGCAGAGAGGGAGAAGAGGACAGCAAACGAGGGGCTGTGACAAACTGTTTCGTCCAAGTTTCACTGACTCATCAAGAACCAACCTTCGCCAAACTGATACCAAACCTATACTCAACCTCCGCGCATCCCGAAGGTCGGGGAAAAGAAAAGGCAAGGAAAGATACTGGCGGATTAAGACACCACTTATCTGACAACAGTCTCCACATGGACGACACAAAGATCACTGCTATCCTGGATTGGACCGCCCTTAGATCCGCGAAGCAGCTTCTCAGTTTTTTAGGCCACACTAGTCTCTAATACTCTAAAGGAAATAGAGGGTCTCGCGTGATTGTCCCACGCGAGCCCTCGACCACAATGTTGGGAAAGAGCAGAACGGGGCTGCGGGCCCAGCGGGAAGCGGCCGAGCAGCACGGTACAGGACTTCAACTGGGCGGGGACGTGACGAAATGGTGCGGCGCGGGCGGGGCAGGTCGAAACAGCAGGACGCAGGGGAGAACAGGCCGATGGGTCAGGTAATGCGGGGGCCGGAATGGTGCAACACGGCCGGCAACACAGCGTAGGGGGTGCGAAACGAGTCGACGGGCCGCGCGGGGCCCGAAACAGCGCGAGGCGGAGCAGCCAGTACGAAACCGGAGGACGCAGGGGAGAAGCCGGGGCCAGGGGTGAACGGGCCGGCGGAGGTACACACGGTGAGCAGCTGCAGCAGGCTGACGCGGGCGCGGTGCGCAGGCCAAGCGGTGCAAGATGGTCGGGCCGGTGCAAAATGGGAGCGCTCCAGGAAAGGTGCAGGGGGAGGAGGCGGGGGTAACAGCTGTCTCTTATACACATCTAGATGTGTATAAGAGACAGCACACACACACACACACACTCTGCACTTACAGGCCATTCATCGGAGCCCTATTCACCTGGGAGTGGATGCTCTTTCAGTTCCTGGAGGTATTTAATATTTAATATTTAATATTTATGCCATTATTCACATACCTTCTGATCGCGCATACGTTGGACAAACTGCATTTTCTGCTCACTATTGCTTGCAACAACACTGGCACCCCCGCTGCTCATCCCAAACTAATCACGTCACCGTCAACTTTATCACTCCATGGCAAGGCAACCACCATTTCACTTCACCGTCTGGCCCTTCACCCCCACCTTTACTTGAATGCCGATGGCTCTATCAATCCTGAACTGTTCAAGCGTGCAGCCACCCCTGGCAAAGGGTTTTGGGTTCGGCGCCTGACCACCCTATACCCCCAGGTGGTTCAACAGTCTCCTCCCAAAAGGTTGATTACCGCCTGTCAGATGATCTCATCGCTCGAACAGGCGGATTTGTTCGCGAGGCTGTCCAACTCCTCCCTCTACAACTCGCCCCATAGCCCAAATTCATAGTGGCAGACCCTTCTTGATTGACACTAACCTAGGTCCTTTCTATGTAGTACACTTGTCCTTGCATCGCCTGCTTACACAGGCAGGCAATTCAGAATGGCAATCCATATCTCATACCCTCTCCCAAGCCACAGGTGCCTGGCGCTCCAGCTCGCTGCAAGGGATGCTGGGAAATGTCTCAAATGTTGAGCTCACAGCCAACATTCATAAACTTGAGTGCACGATCAGTGGTCTGCAATATTCACACCGACCGTATTCCAGCCCTATACATGATAGGGCTCCGTCCCTAATTTTTTTTATTAAGGTCGTGTACATGCATCATGTTGCTCACACCACACGATTACGGAGCATCCTTCAACAACTACCAGATGTCATTTAATTACACCAACGGCCTCCTCTTACCGAGGAAATACACATCCATGTACAAGATGGTGCCACCCATCCGTTTCCCGTTCTCTTATTTCACAAGAGTTGCGCTCGACATGACAAGCATTGTGCCTCCTCCAGACCCTGATATTTGCCCTTGTCGACAAACATTTCCATGCTGTACTGACGCGTTGTTGACTACGCTAGTATACAAGACACATCGAGAAACTGTTAAGCACACTTTATGAGAGCAGGGATTTTGAAAGGAGAGTTTATAACTTTAAAGTTTATAGTACTTTAAAGTTTATACCCATGGCAAAACATGGAATAGTCCCCATAGATCATGCTGACCTTTTAAACCACCAGTGCTTCCTAAAGGTGTGCCCATTAACAAGCCCCGATTTTAGGAAATGTACGGGTCACTACAGTTGTGCACAAATTCATTTGACTAGAAACGTTTCTACTTTAGTAGTTCCCACGGCCCATAGCTGGGGCCAAGTACTGGTGGTTTAAGTTTCCACAATCAGCGAATACTCGGAATCCTGAATTAGAGGTAGGCTAGTCGAGCCATATATATGTTAGATAAGAATGGGGTCTTCTAATAAGCCCCAATACGCTTAATTGGAAACTTAGGGTTTATGTACTACAGGAAAGGAATTGAAAAATTGAAATATGAGTAGAACCGTAGAATGGATTACTGGGGCAAACGTCCTTGGAACTTCAGTCAAGAGTTTTGTCTTCAGATTCCAGACCAGGATTTACATTAGCGGGCTGTCTTCGTTGAAGGCTTCAAGTATCGCCTCAACGCCAACACCACGGATGTGCTTGAAAAAAACGCTGAGACTAGGTCTGAACGAGTATATTGCATACCTGCCGCCCATCGCGTGCAAGCGAGTTCTGCGCGTGTGGCGCATAGCACACGAGATGCGGCGCACCCCAATAAATAGCATCAATAAAATAATTTGGACAGGGCTGGCTGAGGTAGCCAAACGTACCCCTCCCTTCTAAAAAAATTGTAAGGGTGGCGGGCGCAGAAAAAACAAATTGGGGCCACGTATTCCTCGTCGCATATAGTTTTTTTCCCGAAGGGGCCCCACAGAGAATCTGAAGGGGCTCTCATGTCTCAGCAGAGACGTTCATTGATTTTCGGATGAGAGAGGAGCTGGCCAGCAATATGTCTTCCGGATCCGAATACAGGTCTGTGTTTCAGCAGTTATGGGTCACAACTACTTGCTACCGTAGCTCTCTCTCTCTTTGGTTTCCTTTTCGTACGAGCAGTGGCCGTAAAGGGCCTGGCTCCACTCATCACCACTTGCACAAAAGGCAAAACATATGGCAGCGTATGGTTCCACATTCTAGCAGAAGATTCATTCTAGTTTTGCACATTTGGTGAGTAGTGGAGGGA